GTGGCTGCTTAAGAACTTAAGAATTGGTAAATATTTCGGTATGCTTTTTTGGCCACCTTCCATTATTAGGAAGAAGGCTGAATTTGTGAGCAGAATCGGTTATGGGACCAACACGAGTAATTTGCTTTCATAGCTATATGTATGTAAAATTCAAAGTGTATACTGCATATTCTTTAATTTGATCTTGGCATGATGTGAATATATAGACAGCTATTTTTGAAAGTGATTTTAACTGCTGATTTGCATAATGATACAGGATTTTCCTCATAGCAACTGGAAAGACTCTCATCTTTAGCATGTGGGAATGATTTCAGGCTTTAAGAACAGTGTTTTGTTACAACTATGAACAGCATTAGAGCAAAGGTGTTTCTGAAGTGGCGTGTGGATTATTTGCTTTGGTATGTCTTCAATATTGATGAAGCATCGCTTTTTCCTTGTGGCGTTTGGTAACTTAGCAAATTGTTGGGTGCTTTCATTTTAAGGTTCCCTGGCTGTAGCGTTGTGTTGTCTTCGTTCATTTGAAAGCTGAAGTTCTGTTGTTAGTAGGAAGTATGAGCTTGAGTAGAGGATGGCATTTTAGTGTTTTGCTGTTGTGTATCATGAATCTTTTCTCGTGGTTGGTTTTTTTTTAATGATGTCTAACTAAAATCCCAGAGTCCATGTTTACAAGACTGAGAAAGGAATGAGTGCTTTAAAAACTGTTGAAACCATTTCTGGGAATGGGTTTCTTAGGAAAGAGCTACTTTGGCAAAGTCTGGCAGGTTTTTTTGTTTTGTTTTTTTTTTTTTTTTAAAGCCTATTTCAAATTTTGGTAGTTAGGACAGTTTAGTTAACTTTTGTTTTGCATGTATTGTAGAACTGCCTCAAATGGCTGAGGCTTTTTCCGTTTTCATTTGCCTGTCTGAAAAAAACAACAACTTTGAATTGATAATGAACTTGTTGCATGTTTTAAATCATCAGTTTTTCCAGATTTCTAAAATTATCAGTATCATTACCAATTTCATGATGACTCAGAATTCTTGCTTTGAATGTAAGCCCAGCTTCCAAGCTCCCTTGTAAGAAATCTTGTCTTGGTAGCAAATATCTTAATTTCAGCTTTGGAAATCAATGTTAAATTAACTGAGGTGCGTGAAGCAGTGCCTCTGAACCGTGAGCATGCCTGGTGATAGAAAAATTTGCTGAAGGTGATGCTCCCAAAACTGGCTGGGCTCCGGACCCTTCCGTGCAATGATCACGGGCTGTCGCTGAGGAGGATTGTTTTGTTCCCCAGCGTCTGGAAAAAAGCAGTTACAACCATCCCCTTCACTTGCTGCCAGATCTTGGGGCATCATTTCGCAGGAGAGGAAAGGGTGGAAGAACTTGGTTTTTATGGCAGCTTTTTCAATTAAGTGACGAAACGGCTATTTCTGCTCAGAGATTTAGATCATCTGTGCAAACAGCCGCAGCACTTCCACTCTGTTCTTCCATCTTACGTTGCTCCTTAAAGCAAAAGGCGTTCTTCAGTTGCTTGAACCAACAAAAGAGTTTCAAAGCAATGTGCTTCTTCAGCACGCTTGCGAGAAGCACGTATTAAAAAGACACGCAACAATCTTCACCAGCAACACGAATGCATTTGTCATAGTTTGTCGCTTGCTTGCGTGCGGCGCGGGTGAAGCCTGCAGCCTTGCACGCGTGCCGTGGAAGGGTGTCTCGCTGCGGCCGGTGTCCTTTAACGCCAGCTCTGTTGCCGACAGAAGAGTGAGTCAGCAGTGGCCTGTGAATTGCCTTCCAGTCTAAGACTTTGAGATAATAAGTAAGGTACTTCAGGATGCTTAGATTTAGGTGGGAAAGAAATTGGCTTGCCTGTTTAAAAAACAATCGTGTGTTTCTAAAAAGAGTGTCCCCCCACCCCCACCCAGGCTCACTGTGGATATTGGTTTTTCAGCAACACTTCAGTTTTTGTACTGTCAGGTTGCAAAACCCCAGAGCATACAACACTTTTATTGAATCAGCATCAGTAAATTGATTCCTAGTCTTTTTTTTTTTTTTCTCTCTCCTCTTTTTGAAGTCTTTCTCCATTTTCTTTACTTACTGGCAGATTGTATAACATCTTTTGCAATACCAGCACTGGGGTTAAAAATGCACCTGTCATGATGCACGGTTAAGCTTAAGCATTCAATTCTGCTGGCTTGCTCCTATTTAAAAGAAAAAATGCACACGAGCTGCGTGTGTACCGGTTGTGCATTGCCCTTGGGGAGTGGGGGGGGGGTGGGGGTGTCACGTGAGATGCGCTTTCCAAAAGTGTGAGACCGCCCCGGTTATTTTGGAACTTTTTATCTCTCTGCCTGCCTGTTTTGAGGCTTCGGTGTTTAGACAAGTGTGTGAGCCTGCAAACTGGGAACGCTGCTGTTAAGATGTTCTGTTCCCTTCGCTTGGGGTGTCTGTCTGCTTCGCTTCCATCTTGCACCAGCTGGGAATCCTGGAAAGTATCTCGTTTCTTAGCCGCTCGGAGAGGAAAAGCCAACAGCAGAGGAGAAGCATCTGAACATAAACTGCAGGCTGAAACGCGTGAAAAAAACATGTAGTGAAGCTCACGACTGCGAACAGAATTTAGAGCAACTTCCATGGTAATTTGGTGAATTTTGCACATCTGTCTCATGGGTGATACTATAGCTGAAACTGAGTTTTGTTTTGATGTGGTGTGTCAAAATGAATTTATTTCACCCCTGTTGCTAGCATGAGTGCTTGTTGTCTACAGAGGAGCGCTGTGAAAGCGGGCTAATACACTGGGTGATTTTGCTGTGGTAATTTATGTAGCCCTGCTCCTCAGAGCAGGATGGAAATGGAACTGCTAGAACTGGCAGTAGGTAGAAATTGGGCTGAAATCAGGAATGAGGAGCGGGTGGTGGGGTGTGCTAGCTGAAAGTCAGGTAATTCCCTGTTAATAGGCATCGAGTGGGTGCACTGATTTATAACCAGTTTCTTCTGCTTATGGCAAGTAGTAACTGATAAAATAGTAAATACATTGCTAATTCTATAGCGTCTTTTTTAAAATTTAACAAAGAGGTGTGGACTGCTTGCGGAGTAAAATACATTCAGAGTGAAGGTCAAAGTTCAAAATATATGTGATTTGATAGTATCTGAAGTTATCACAAGCCCTGAAAGTTAAGCAACGTAATGTTTTGGATGTTTTTTTTTTCCCCAGGATAAGCTTTTTTTTTTTTTAGGGTTTGGGCAAGTACAGAATAAATTGGAAGACAGACATGAACCCCTTTCAGTGTCTGTATTTAAGGCAGCTACAGATATTTGTTTGGAATTTTCAAAAGCTTTCATATTTTTCTCATTGTCTGCATAAATCATCTTTTGAATAGTCCAAGCAGACTGATGTCTATTAATACTTGGATTACAACATAGTAAATGCTCATTCTTTTTTTCGAGTAGAGAACATTATTTCCGTGTATTCAGTTCTTAATGTTTTTCTTAAGTCTTCTACTTAACTGTGTAAATGCAGAACTTGGTCTGTGCTGCTTCCCTGTGAGTTCTTAGGCTTGTAGGAATTCTGCAAGGATGGACTACAGTAGTTTGTATCCTACTTCAGGCTTTTTTTCTTGTGTACAACTAACTGGAATACTATTATCTTGGAAGCTGCTGCAGTGTTTTCCGTTCTGATGATTGCTCGTTGGAGCTTTGTTATTTTAACCATAAAATGAAAAAATACTCTTACAATTGTGGAATAATTTCGGTTGAAAGGGACCTCTGGAAATCACCTGTTTCAGGCCCCTTGTTTAAAGCAGAGACGCCTTCAAACATATCATGCTTTGTTCTTACTCCTTCTAAAATTAGTTTGAGGAGGAGTATGTTAATGTGGTAGGCTATGGTCTCTTTTCGAGCTGCTAGTTTCATTTCTGTTTTGCTTTTCAGTGAAGCTTCTTCACTACATTATAATTTCTAATAATGTTTTAAAAAACTTAGGAGTACTTTCATTTTTTTTGAGTTCTGTTTAGATAAAAATAATAATCCATATATCATTACACTGCCAGGAAAATAAATACCAGTAATTTCCTAGCAATTAGTTGTGAATTCTTTACTACATCGACTCTAGATGCTAACTTAAAATTTTCTTATTTGGCTTTTTTTCCTTAGCATTAATTTGTTTTTGCTAAGAGATGCTTTTCCTAAGTTCTTTATCTCAGGTTGCTTTTGGCAAGTGAATTACACGTAGTACAGAATAAGAAAGTAGAATATTTTTCCGGAAGGGGGAAATTTATTTAAAAAATAATATCTATAATCCTTTTCAGATCTATACATTCCCATCTATTGCAATATCTTATGTTTAGGTGTTCAGAGCTACCTTAGCAGCTGCTATAGTGGTCTGTTATGTAGAAATCATGGACTGTGATAAAAACATTAGTCTTTATGTAGCCTTGCTAGGGCTTGCGTGCCTGAAATACACTTTCTTGTTTGCTTTGCTGTTTTGGGTGGTGTACCTATTTCAAGTTTTAATTTTGAACATCTTGCAGTTTAGTCATACGACTATTTTAATACTTTCCCATTGGATTTAGTATGCCATTCAAA